CACACACACACACACACACACACACACACACACACACACACACACACACCCCCACCCCCCTCAGAGTACCAACGAGCGTGCTTGAATGGACAAGTTGCATGAACGCAGGCCCATTGCAGCGGTGTATTTTCAGTGCCTTTGACCCAGGGAAACAATAGACAGTCCAATCAAATAAAGGAGATAAGAGAGCGCGCAGAATGGCAGATGTAAACACGCAGCATATTCAACCACCAAAAACACAATGGCCATTTCAGTACCTTCATTTGGCAAGTTTTTCAATAAATACAATTTAAAAAGAAAAAAAAGAAGAAAGAAATGAGGCTCAACATGCAAGCTTCATTTGCAAACTAAAACCACAAGTAAGACTCAATTAAATGCTGCAATAACTTTCACTGCACAGGCCTGGGTCAAGTTATAAACAGGTTTTTGAAGCCTTTGCTTAACACAGAATTTGCTTGGCACACCATTTTGTACTGGATTGTCATGTGAGTCTTTGTTAAAATGCATTGTGTGTAGAATGAAGCAAAGTAGATATAAAAGAAAAGGATTATTAAAAATAACCGAACCGGCTTTTCTGACGGCTCTGGTCATTGGTAGTGTAACCATGGGACTGTTAGCGTAAAAATCCACGTCGTCAGCGAGTGGAAACAGACGCCACCGTGCTGACACCAGAGGCTGAACGCAACCTTTGTTTTGTGTTTTTACCGTCTGCAGGACAGTATTTTCTCAAGGTTGCAAGCCACGGCTCACGGGAACAGCGTTTCCTGAACGTGCCTTTCTGTGGCATCCAAAAGGCCAGCTTCAGTCAGTCAGCATCACATGGGCAAGTGGGTCAAAAATAAAGGCTTTGAAATGTTTCGTGAAGCACCAAAGATTAACCATTTACCATCTAAAACAAAGTAAAGATTACAGTCCAGCAGGGTAAGTTTAATCTGACCCTGCCGCCTCGTTCAATGTGCACTTAAGGTCAAAATATCCCAGCATTCTCTCTCCCCCTCCCGTCCCCATGCAGCCAGTGTCAAAGTCAAGCATGAAAACACTACCAATGAAGAGGCAAATATGTAAAAGCACAGAGGAAAACTTTGCATCGCTGATTTCAGCACATAATTCATAATGGGATCACCTGGGTGATAAGGTCGAATAGAAAAGACACTAAAAACATCCTATTGCAACTTAAGAAACCCAACTTCCTTTAGTTATTCTCTTGAAGGTAAAATAAAACAAAAAACTAAACGGGGGGAGGGCGGGGGGTACCTAAACGGCCACCAGCCGTCTATCAGGCTTCTGTGGACTGCTGCTCTCAAAAGGATGTCAACACGCTCCTGATTCAGGCACCCTCCCGAGGCTAATTAATTGCGCCTTTTGCTCTACACCATTCAGATTCCTTTCATTTCTACCAAAGCTGCTAAGAGTAGCCCTTGTGATGAGAAAGTCATGAAAAATTACCTGAATTACATAGTGAAGACAAAAACAAAAAAGCCACATATCAACTCTCGGCTTAATGGAATATTTAAACTACTATCGGGCAAGACGCACAATATGAGATTGGTACCAAGAGCAAACGCATATCCTTAAAGATTACAAAAAGTACAAGCATCTCTGAACAGTAAATATTTAACCACCAAGTAATTTTTTGTCTGTTTTTCATTTTCCTATTTGCATAAAGCACAAACCTGACACAGAAACCTTTTTTTTTTTTTCCTTTTTCCTATGTCAAGCACTTCAAAAACAGAACTGCAACAACTAAATATATGAAGTATCATTAGAAACAGAACACTTGTCCATAAAATAGTTTGATATTTTACAGCAGTATAAAATCTACTCCCAACTTTGATGTTGAAAAAACAAAACTTGAGCTGAAACTAGGGACAACGTCTCATTTACTATATCAATAACAAATAGATCCAATTGATAAATTAGACATACAAAAAAAAAAAAAAAGAATTTATGATTGTGACAGTTTAATCAAATGTTGGCTGATTATAATGGCAAAAATGAAGGCGATTACAGGAGAGGAAAAAGCCATTTGCATGATCATAACCAAAGTTGTGACTGAAGCAAACTGGCAGCGCAAAAGCTTTATTTCATCCAAAACATGACTGCTGCACCAGTTTAATCCGATGCCATCATTCACACATTGTGCACAAGAAAGTTATCCTCACACAAATAAAACTCACAGTACTGTTACACGTGTGATTGAGACAACATAAAGAAATGCCACACAAAGTGAGGTGTTACGCTGTTAAACATCTGGAACGATCCAACTCGGGAGAAAACCTTCACTTAGTTTTTGGCAAAAACCAGCTCCCAAATATGTTTCTTAGTATCTGAACTGGTTAAGGGATTAAAACGATACTGGCAATGTTACTGTATTTACAGAAAAATGTAGGTGGTTTTAATTTGGCAAAGTGATAGAGAATTACAGGGGAGCTGGTGTACAGTACGTAAAATACTGGTAGTGTTGTCTCAGTATAAAATCAGGGGCACTGAATAATAAACAGAACCTGACCACTCCTGAAAGGGTTCCTTTGAGTAGTCGCCGTCGATCGGTTTAATTAGCGAACAACAGAAGAATTAATGACGTTAATATAGATGAAAATATTGAAAGTCAAAAGAGAACATGAGTCATCTCTGTGTAGCCCTCACTCTGTGTGAGCAGCATGAAAACTTTATTTACATTCAACAGAGCTTCTATGCTCTCATTTAGGGCACGTAACCCCCCAGAAAGAGTTAAAAGAACACATCATGGACAATTCAAGACCCAGGAGAACCAAGTACCTCTCTGCACCCCAGCACTGTCTGATTAATTCGTTACCCTCTGCAGATGAGCAGAGTCCAGTGTGTGCCACCTGGCCTCAAGCCCTCAGGCTGTAGTGTATAGCATGCATGGGTTAAATAACTATGGGAGAGAGCCCTTTGTCCGTAAAAGCTTAGTCTACCGGGAGATGGTCCTCTACCCACCTCTGACACACGAGCGCAAGTGAGACTGTAGTGTAGAGAAAGAAAAACGTGAGCCACGGCAAGGGCCGAACGAGGAGCGCCGGAGTAGAGAACAACCTCCCAAGAGGTGACAAATGGAGGGAGTGTTATATCTGAATGTGTTTCATGTGTGATTGTGCAAGACAAGCAGTTAATAAAACCAAACAAAACAGAGTCCTTAAAACTGGGCAAAACAGCAACCAAGGGTCTGAGTGAAGAGATAGGGCAGAATATGGATAGTGTTGGTCTGGTAAAAGCACAAAGCAATGCTCATCTCTTTACGAGTGCATTTCATGCAGATGTGGACACTGCATTGAGTGTGGGGGCTGTGGGTGTCTTGCTTGCACTCTAACCATCTGTCTTTCCAATTTTCCTTCACACCAGGTTGTATTCTTTGAGATTGAGCTGCAGGATGGTGTCTTTGACGGCCGCAAAGACGAAACGGATGTTCTCCGTGTCGGTGGCGCACGTGAAATGGGAGTAGATTATCTTGTCACTATCTGGGTTCAAGTCCACAAACATCTTCAAGATGAACTCCCGACCTGCCTGCGCGTCCCGCTGAGGACCTGGGAGGAGGACAGAGTGGTGTAGTTAAATGTATTCGCTATGAATGAGCGAGGAGGAAAGGATTCACTAAAACAAAAATAAAAGACACTTGGGTGACAGGTTGCTCAATAAGAGAGCGATGTGACATTTTACAGGAATATATTAGTTTGTATTGTAGTACAGCATCATGGCCATAAGGTGTCAGTCTACAATAAAAAAACAACAACTGCAAAAGCAAGGTTCCTATATAAAGTAAAAAAACCTCAAGCGTGCACATCACATCCTTCACTCTTTGAAACACTCTTGTTTACAAGTCAACTCCTTACCATCAAACTCTGGGAAGTAATCAACCAGGTGAGAATACATGATCTTCTCTTCCAGCAGGTCCTTCTTGTTAAGGAACAGGATCACAGAGGAGTTCTGGAACCAGGGATATGTGATGATGGTCCTGAACAGAGCTTTACTCTCCTCCATGCGGTTCTAACAACGAAACAAGGACGTTAAAGACAGCGATGTGTTCAGAACGCTTCACTTTCAGATTCACTCGACACTGAAAGCAACCAAATTGTAAAGCAGACCATTTATCCAAAACCTGCAATTATATGGCATTTCTGTTTCTTTCTAATACAGGTCAGTAACGATGACAGTGTAACTTGCAAGTGTTTTTGGCAACAGTGGCTTTGTAATCTGAGATTTTTAGTAGATACACTTATTTCAATTGAAAAACAGGTCTCATCTTTAGAGCTAGAGACAGAATATTTACGGTGACCTCTGACCTTCACCAATATTTGAACTTGTTTTGAGTTTAGCAGATGTACTCATGGTATCAACTTGGAAATCCTACATCAATTTGGTTGAGTTCTTGTGCTCAAAATTCAGCGTCCGCGCTGTCCAGCCAACCAGGTGACAACAATACCCTACATCAGTCTTTCAAACCTAAGGAGTAAAAATGCTGCAATGAAATTTTGGTAAAATGCACTAGCCTGACGCATCAACTCAAAAACGGTACTCAGCAGTTTGTATGGCCCTCACATTCTTGTATGCATGCCTGACAACATCGTGGCGACTTGACAGAGTCAGACAGATCGAAACACAATGTCCCAGAGGCGTTCTGTTGGATTCAAAGCAGGCGAGTGTGGGGGCAGGCCAGCGGTATCAAATCCTTCATCTTCCAGGAACTGCCTGCTTAGTCTCTCCACACAGGGCCAGCTACTGTCGTGCACCAGGAGGAACCCAGGAGCCACTTCACCAGCGTAGGATCTGACAGTAGGTCCAAAGATTTCATGCTGATACCTAATGGCAGTCGGGGTGCAGTTGACTAGACTGCAGAGGTGTGTACACCCCTCTATGGATGTGCCTCCCCAGATCATCTCCCACCACTAAACCAGCCATGCTGATCAATGTTACAGGCAGCATAACGTTCTCCACACTTTCTCAAGATCCTTTCAAATTGGTAATACTGGTGGACACACACACGGACACACACACACACACACACTTTAGAAAAAATTAAACATAGTCTGCCTCTCTCAGATTAAAAAAAAAACAAACAAAAAAAACTTTAAATTTAAAAATCCTTGCCAGCGTTACTCATACGGGGTCATTCATTACATCATGGCGAGACACGAGACAATCCTGGACAGACTTGATGAAATCAAAGGCAAAGAAAACTCCCGTCAGGCTTGAACTGGTCCACAAGGGTCAAAGTCTCAGTCTTGAGCTTGTCATCACAGCAGGATAATCTCTGCACACTGAAGTCTGCTAAGCTTTGTCTTAGCTGGTAACCTTTCATTAAACGAGTTTAACAATAGCATCATGATTGTCTGGTGTTTGCTATTACCTCTTAGAGTCTGAACATTAAAGGGGGGAAAAATGACTGTGTAAAAATTAAACCAGATCCGTCTGTCCAGTGAGGTGCCCGAGCTGGCACCATACGTGTGTGCAGTTAAACTGGTAACAGAGCAGCCAGACGACTGGACCCTGCGATACTTAACTTGCAGCAGCTGCTGTACTGATGTACAGAGTCACAGCTGGCAGCTGGGTTTGGTTTATCATATGACCAGGTCAGAGAAAGGGTTTGTTGTCAGAGAGGAGCAGAGGGCACACAGAGGCTGATCACATTAGCTTTATTAGCGATAATTCTATCTGAACAGTCAGAAACCAAAGCTGACGACACGGGCAAAATATCCCTGAAATAAACAGAAGACCTGCGTCCAGTTTGTTGTGAGAGATTTGATAAATTGTGTCTCATTCATGCGGACATACGACGTTAGTCTGATGACCTGCTTAGTGCTCTCTCGAAAGCTTCTTTGGTTGCTCCCATGTTCATATGGTGTCACAGAAGATGTTTGATTTGATAGTTTTTCTTCTTTTAAACAAAAGATGCCCTTCCTGAAGCTTTGCACATTAGGTAAATGTATTAACCACAACACGATGGAGCCACTACCTACTAAACTTTCTCCAATTCAAAAGGAGTCATTGAATAATTGTTCATTTGCATTGTTACTGCTCAACTATTGCTGTTAAAACAAGCTAACTGGCACTGCATAGTACAGCTGCAGAGGTGTTTTACTGGAAAGCAGTTGATGAGTGCAGCAGGAGTAAACAAAAAAGTTAAACCTACAGCTGTGAGCTGCAAAAATCTAAATAAATGCACTTGCACTCCATCGTGGACACGCACAGCTGGAGACCCGATGGCTAAAAAGTCATTCTTGTTATACTTAAGGTGCCAGTATACCCTCAGTATTTGTCACTTCATGCACAGTCACAACATCACACAGTCAGTTCTATTTATGCCTGCTATTAAGCCACAGGTGGCTCCAATGTTCTCCTGAACAACAGGTTTCACTACTCGGACAATAACCGCCACATGATATTGGAAGAAGTCAAAACTGGAACCTCACAAAGTCTCATTTTTGTAACATCTCCCTCTGTCTACTCTGTGACTTTGAGCTTGTCTACCAATATCATTAGAATGGCGGATGGTGGCTTCAACCCAGCTGCGGCCGCAGCGTAACGCCGCAGGTTAGAAAGAGAAATTGCAATTTTCAGCATGCGCAACTCCGTGTTTTCGACGGGGGTAAGCATAAAAGCAGCCTTATGTATACGCTTGAGGCACACTGCCTAGGGAGCATGTTTATTTAATTAAATAATAACTAATAATTTCTCTGGACGAGTGTGTGCGGGGACAAAAATGGACAGGCACGTGATGTCCACATGAACTCTCGCACTAACTTCTGATGATGAAATTCGCATCACTGGCACCTCAGTGGACTTTAAAGTAAGACTATAAGCTCTGCTTACTATTCAAGCACCCTAATAATTTAAGCACACAAACCCGAGCTTGCTCACAATTGCAAAATTCTGGAAATATCTTGATATCAAAACGAACTTTACAGTTTATTAAGAGCACAGCATCAAAATGTTGTGTGAAATTACAAGTCTGTCTCACCTCATTGTCCGACTCCACCAGGACCTGGTCATATTCGCTGAGAGCAACCAAAAACATGATGGAGGTGACGTTCTCAAAGCAGTGGATCCACTTCCTCCTCTCCGACCTCTGACCCCCAACATCCACCATCCTGATTGGAACATGATGGGATGAAGGGCAGAGGGGAAAGAAAAATTTTAATTAGCTGCGAGTCTTTACTGGGTATAGTTTTCTAACTCACTAAATATTATACTCAGCATCCACTTTAACATTCGTTAAATCTTTGAGCTACTTTAAATCAAATAAGACCTGAACCACAGAACGCCAGGGGTACGCATGTCCTGAAAACGTGTTCAGCACATGCGTTACAAATAAATTAAATATTAATATTTAATCCTGAAGTGATTCAGCCAGGAACAAGACACGGATCTGAAGCACGTCAGGACAGAAATACATTTCAGAAAATGGATCTGTGCAAAGAGGATTCTTAATTTGTCATTTTCAGTGGCCAGTCAATAGATTTCAAGGACGCTGTGGTCAGGTGGTTACAATGGAAGCCTATTTCAAAATAAAAATTGTAGTAATGCATTTCAAGCCAAGCAACCCAATATAAAAAGAAATGAATTTGCACTGTCTAATGACAGGGGAAATGTTCCAAGGTGAACCAAAAGAAGCATAGGGAAGTTTATGCACACATACAAACAACACCATCTTCCTCTGAAAAGCGCAATGCAATAGAATCCATGCAGTATAACTAAAGTTGTGCTGCCAATAAGGTGCTAAATGTGAAGGCATATAAGAGGAGCACAGAGAGTGGGGAGGAACAAGAATGCAGAATTAGGAAATAATTATTTTAAATAATCAGGAAGGGGAAAAAGTAAGAAGATGGAGGAAATTTCTTTAAGGCTCATCGTGTTGGCTTTAAATCTAAGGTCAGGAGATCTGGATCATGGATTAAAATGCACTTCTGTTTGGCTCTGGGCTCTTCCAAAAAATAAATAAATAAAAATCAAGAAAAATGAAAATGTAGAAACACCGTAGAACCTTTGGTGCTCGATACAGTGCCGGTCAAAAGTTTGGACACACCCACCCATTCTTGTGTGTCCAAACTTTTGATCGGAACTGTAAGAATGAAAGTGGGCCAGAAAGTTAAGTCTCAGCTCCATTTAAATAACATATGACACAGTGAAAGTTTGATGAGACAAAGGTGAACTGAGCAAGTCTGCCAGAAGAAATGACGGCATTGATAAATGGGGCCCTCCAAAAGCAAGCCTAAAATAAAACTCCTTTATATTAAATGACCTCCTTTGTTTTCCTCTAGCAAGGATGAGTGACCTACTTAGTTCCATAAGCTCTCCTATGCTGGATATTACTTCAAAAGCCAATTATGATGAAAAAAAAAAAAGAAAAGAAACGGGCCTCATGGAGAGGTCCATCATGAAAGCACTCCTTGTTGCAGCAGCACCCCTGTCAGCTGCAAGTATCCTTGGAGTCCTACGTGCGATTATTGCTTACAGATGCACATGTGAGCACTATGGATGAGTAGTTAGTCCTCCCAAGCAGCAAGTCAGCTTAGAGTCCACCTGGTGACATAACTGTTGCATTGTTGTGTAACGTTGAGGGGCACGCTGCGTCTTCAGTGAGCCTCCTATTCACCCACTGATGAGAGAATTCATCACTTGGACAAAAGCAGACCTCCGCACACTCAGGTGTGAAGAATATAATCACGTTTACAACAAACTGAGCTGAGGAACTTGTCTTGCATCAAGTGCGCTGCATGCTCCACTGCAGAAATCACCAAATTAGCAATTGCACTCTTCTTCCATTAAAACCTGACATTTATTGCCTCTTCACATGCATATATATATTTTTTAATATGCTTCTTCAGTCTCAGCAAAAAACCTGATGTCACTGAGAACATGCAGTGATTCACCATCATCAGCACAGCCAAGCAGAGTAGAGCCTATTGGCTATCTGCAGCAGGGCTGCTGGGAACCTCTTCAACACAGCCTCATTGCAAGCAGAGTTATTTCTAGCCTTGCCAAGCGTAGGAGGGGGCTGACATGATGGCTTCCTATCGATTTGCACTCTTCTGTAATCACTTGCATTTCCTGGGTCCATCAATCTGCTCATCCGTTTTTAACAGGAGGAGGAAGGGAAGCGCTTGTACGTATTGGTGGCAGGTCCTAAGACATTTAGTTTTTATGTCCTGTTTTCCAGGTTCCACGTCAGGACTACAGAGAAACTGAGGAGGACTAAGATGTAAAAATACAGCCTTGGAGCCTGAGACGTTTAAAAAACAGAGCTAGAGAAATGTCATTTGTCAGCATTTTTTCCCCTGTGACTCATTTATCTCGAGCCATTTTTATTACAAATTATACTTCATTTGGTTAGGGTACATATTACATAGGCTTAAATGCTCTCAACAACCAAGTACCCAGTTCCACTACCAGCCAGCCAATTTGCTACATGCCCGTCTCCCATTTCCTTTCCATCTCCACTCTGAAGTCTTATCTAAATAAAAAGCATTAATAACCTATGCAAAGTTATTGTATGCACACAATCCAGAAATCACAATTTTAAACTGCATACAAACAACTTTTTATTGTTGTTGCTTTGTGTTTAAAATATTCGATTTGAGATTGCGTGCCTTTTACTGTAAAGAAGCTGCAGTAAATGTAAAATGCTTGTCATGGAGGTTAGAGAATGTGACTGTTAACTGAACGAGGATCTTCAGCACTGGTCTTTCAGTGCATGAGGATTTCTCAAGGAAGTAATGAAACGATGGAGCACATACAGCAAGTGATAGAAACAACGATTTAGAATCAGTCCCGTTCGATGGCATCTTCTTGTGATCCTTTACTTTAGACTGCAGATGGAAATCCCGCACTGAATACTTTCACATTTACAATGAGCGAGAGGTCACGGAGAGTCGTGGAGAGAAAGCTGTTTAGATGAAGCTCAAATTATCTGCGATTATCCTTGACATGCACCAGAAACTGCACCCTGAAGCAGATCAGTCAGCTGCAGGTGGTGCAGTTGGTTCTGATCACACATTTCCACACATGCATAGTATGAAATTAGACTCGGATTGCTAATGATATGATAGAAAGCGTACAGTTTTTGATTTAATATTAAATGTTGCAAAATAAACTTTACCATAACGACTAAATCTTTAGATCATCAGCTGTAGATATACTAGCAGATCAAGTTTCTGTTGACTTATTAATTGATAATGATATCAGGATAATGCACCGTAGGATAGATCATGGTTATAATCCAACTTTGAGCGCCAACTTACAAATAGAGACAAAACACTTTAACCCAAATTGTGTATACCCAATCCCTTTAAAATCTGTGTCAAGATAATGTATGTCGTCTTCTACCTGAAAATGATGCTTTGCAAGTCGAAAGGGTATTCTATGATCCCAGTGGTTGGGATTCGAACCCTAAGCACATCCTGTTGGGTTGGTAGATAGGACGGGTCAGCAATACGATCCAGATCACTTAGATAGCTAGAGACAAGAAGGACAACAAAAGACAGAGGGAGGAAAGAAAGTGAAGCATACAGCAGATAAAGCATATCCCATCCAAAAGCAAGTGCATCAGTCCAGATGCAACCAAAGATTTCTGAGGGTTAGGAGTGGATGGGGGACATTTCACACTAGCGCCCCTCCAAATGAAATTGAGCTATATCCTTGATGGCAGCTCTAAAAGACATAATTCTCAGTTTTAACTTTTTCGCACTGTCAAAGAGCTCAAAGTGAAGGCTTGTAGGTTTCTAAAAAGATAAGCGGTATCCTCTAAAGTTAAATTAAAAACGAATGTGTGTAAAGTCTTGTAGCTTAAGGCTTAAACTCAAGACTAGTCTTTGAGAGTGTACCATCAGGAATGTGCTGAGCCTTGCTGTGCAACACAGTGTAGACTGCGATAGCGGCATCGACGGTTTCCAACTGGCTGACCAACTTTTCTGCAGCTAGCCAACCAGTAACACCAGCAGGAGCACTAGACACCAGTACCTGAATATAATATTCTCCAGGTTAAATGGGTACTCAATGATGCCGGTGGTGGGCACTCGGACCCGCAGCACATCTTGCTGAGTGGGTACATACCCTGGTGTCGATATTCGTTCTAAATAGTTAAGGTAGCTGCGAAGGGGGAGGGAACATAACAGATGCACATGTATGCACAGAGACAACTGTCAAGTAAAAGACCACATGCACATGAACAGTGCTTTCATTGTCAAGTTGCTCAACTCATTTTAAAATGGATTCAATAATTCTTTTGTTCTTGTTTTTCTGAGGTGCAGAGCGAAGCATCCAGCATGCTGAACTCCACCTGGGACCAATGCATACGTTGTTATGCACATTCACGCACTAAAGCACTTAAAGTGCTGGGTAGATGTGCACATGAATGTAACACGATATAAATGCAGTAAATTTAACCTTGCCATTTAATTAAAAAAAAAAAAAAAAAAAATACATTTCCCCTTTGTTCCAGTACAGATCTCTCACTTAGATTGTCCAAGCTTAGCGCGCATTTTAGAAGATGTTTTCATCCTTTTAAGCACTTAGCTGCAGGTCTGAACCCACGTCCTTATGACCCCATTTGTGTCCACAAGTTTCAGTTCCTACAGTCCAGCATCTTTCTAAAGATGAGTAGCTTTGATCTGGCCGTTGTACCATAAAGGCCTGCGTGGTAAAACACTAAAGTGATGGTTGTACATGTACAAAGAAGCTAGTAAAGATAGTTCTTTGTCCCAGACTCTTCAGCTTGAACGAGTGGCTCAACTAAGTGACTGGTTTCCAAAGGTTACTTTGCTCTTTGACATTTACAATTTTCTTGATTTTCATTGTCCAGAACTGTACTCTGACAATCATTTCTTACAGGTCTACACACAGTTCTTTAAAACTTGAGACTATTTATAATTAGGAGTTTGCATTTTACAATTATCCAATGAAATGAAGTAGCCACAGGTAGACCCCTGCCATAGCAAATGCTCCAAGTATTCATGCAAATTGACATTTCGGTTTTATTAAGTGTAAAAAACCTTTTGTTTTGCCCATTTGTGTTGATTCATGTGTAAAAATGAATAGAATCCATATTAAGATGAGTCCGAAACATAAAATATGGAAACCCTGAAAGGGGATAACAAGTTTGTTTCTTAACAAAACACTTACACTATAAATGCATCATGCAAAGCTTCAGTTTCATCCCAATCTTCAACTGTTCAAAGGAGCCACATTTGGCTCAAATAGATTAATGCAGGTTGGAATTGGCTCTATATATTACTACCGTCATTTATAAACCTGCCAAGATCTCCTCATGCCATCTGCTGAATTCTGTTCTCTTGCTTCAACCGAATGGATGTCGTCCGTCTGCCCCCCCAATACTTGTGTCATTTTTAGAAAACAAAAATATAAATTCTAACATGCATTCTTACACACCCCTTAAACATAAAGCAAATAGTCATTCAGTAAATTATGAAATGTCAGACGTACTACTTGGTCGAGTCAGAGAGCTGGTACTCTCTCCTGCGATCATACGCTTCCTGGATGCCAGGGTCAGCCCACAGCATCTTTATCGCGCTAATGTACGGCTGCTCGAACGATGCAACCTTCTCTACGTCCACATCACGCACCACCAGGGCATTGTTCTGGAAGAACAAAACAAAAACATACAAAAAGACGTTTAAGCAATGCTTCACAGCATTTCTAAAAATTATTTCATATTAAAGTTCATGATTTAAAGTACCTAAACACATGTGGAGTTAACAGACAGGAGAATACTGTGGATTTATTTTCCACCTCTGGAAAACTCTTAAGCCAACACAACACCAAAACATGAAGTTCTTTAAATGGCCACCTAAGACTGGCACCATAAGTAGGTCCATCCCTATAGGCTTCCATGGTAAAATGCTCAACTTTAAGAATGACATTAGCATGTTTAGAGCCTGGTACAAAAAGCGTTTTGGTTTCAGCCCATTCCTCCTCTCATCACTATACAGAGGTTGAATTTTTTAAACCCATCTAGGTTTTTATAAAGGCTTACAGCATGGCCTATTAAGCAGACACAGATAACTGTAGCTGATCCGTCCACTAGGCTGATCTGAGACACTTAACTGGGCCTCTCCACTTCGTGGCGTTTGTGTGTTCTGGAGCAATTTCAACACCATTATTTGCCAAATAAATGCAGGATGGAATTAGCTCTTGGATTGTTAGCAATGTTGCTTTACAGCAAAAAGGTTCCCGATTTAAATGGTCTCGCTGGCCTTCTGTGTGGCATTTGCATGTTCTCGCTGCGCCTGTATGGCTTTCCTCTGCATGCCCTGGCTTCTTCCCACAGTCCAAAGACATCTTGGCAATGTTCCCTCTAATTTTTTAAGTGTTGGAGCGAACACACAGACTCCCTGAGCGGTCCCTTGGACCACTGTGAGCAACAGCAGACGTGTGCACTGTGGTCACGCCAGCATCGAATCCATCCAAGTTACATGGTTTATTAAAATGTTTTTACTCACAGGTGGAGAGCGCTTTCCAGCGCTTTCCTTAGAAAACACAGTTTTTACCGTTTCTTCCCGCAGTAAATATGAACAACTATAGTAATCAGGAAAAAAAAACAAAAAAAAAACATTGCATATATTTTTTATCATAACTGGTTTTACGTGGCCTATCAACACCATTTAAAAACTGGTATAAAGTCCACACTTTTTCCGTCAATTGTTCCGTCTGTCCTGCTCACATCTCCAGTGGTTGTACACGTTGTCATTAACGTGGCTTCACTCCACATCAGCCGTATATGTGAATCGCATTATTGGCTGGACTATGGGATAAGGTGGCATCGTTATAATCCCATACTGGAGCAGCCAGCCACTTACTGACTAACACTACAAAACAGAATTGTTAATGTATTTATTTTAATTTCAATTCAGGTTCGATTTATTTATTTGTGCGCAACGCAGACTTTGTGCGCAGAGACCGTCCCAGCAGTGCGCAATTGCGCACGCGCAGCTTAGACGGAGCATGTTGGGTTTAGTGTTTATTCTAAATTGGCCGTGGATATGAGATGGAATCTATGACTAACTGTGGCTTGCAGTGTAAAAGCCCTTTGACTGGTCAGTAAGACTACAAAAGTGCTATATAAAATACCAGTCCATTTCTAAATAATATGGCTTGCTGTGTGGTAAAACCCCACCCAAGAAGTCTCTGCTGCAGTTTTCCTGAGTGAAAACCTAGTATTTTCTTAGTCATTACTTCTTAGCAGGTATCTGCGTGATGCAGCCACACAGTTTATGGATGCAGCTCGCTAATGAAGCTAGCTAACATTATTGATGACATGGTATGACATACTATAAAATGCCATTTCAAAAAATACATATAAATAAAGAATAAAGCTAACATAGAGGCTTTAACGTCAAAAGGTGTTCACAAACTAATGGGTACATTAACTGTTATACACAATATTTGATGTACACTAAGATCTTCCCACACATGTTCCCAGCAAATTAGCCAGTACAAGTACTTGATGCACCGATGCCATCCAAATGCTATAACAATACATTTCTGCCTCCTAATAATACACACCTTGTTCTGTTCATACTTGAAGGGGATCTTAAGGTTCTCAGTTGCACGGATCATGGCCTGCATCGAGGTGAAGATGTTCTGGTAGACCAGTTTGGTGAAGCCCTTCTTGTCTTCATCTGTATAGCCTGAGCCATGGATTATTCTCATCTGCTTGATGAAAGTGCTCTTTCCACTTTCTCCAGTACCTGGAAAATAGATGGGAGCAGTAAGCAAACTGCTGAAAGCAACTGTTATGAATGGACAAACTGGTGTAAAAGGTATCTTTCAGTGTGCGCTCTAGGAACAAAAAAGTTACAGCAGCATTATTATTTTCTTGCAAACATTTAACAAAAGAAGAAAAAAAGAAAAGACATTCAAATGAGATAGTCGTTAATTTACACAAATTGAAATCTAGAGGAAGCAACCATTCAAATAAATACAAATATCAACCATAACACATGATTTGTAACCCATCCATGTAACACTTCTGCACTTGCCATTTTATAGTAATGTAGCCTGAAAATGTATTTTTGCCGAGAGCAAACTAAGCAAGAAGTAAAATAAAAGACTTGTGGGTACAAATCAGTTTTCAACAGGTCAACCAAGCATTCCAGAAACTAGTTTAAAAGTAGCCTTTTTTAATATAACATCGTTTCTGTGGCAATAAATTGGTCTGTCTCTGCAACAGGCTGGCCTCGTCTGTCCACCTACATCTTAGCATTGATGCATGAGGTCAAGAAGAAATGTGCACCATCGTGTCCACAGGCAATAATCCAGACCTCAATGTCAAGCCCTTCTCTGCTTCACCAGTTCAGGGTGTATGCATTTCTGGTGAGATATTTGAGCATTATATAACTCACTGTAAATAACTCTCCAGCTCTAAAAAACAAAGCTTAAACTACATAGATGTTTCTGGGGTTAATTATGGTCAAGCTATTGTCTTCTTCCCTCCAGTCCAGAAATGTGCAATGTAACAATGCAGTGCAATGGTTGTTTTGGCAGTGGTTCCCGAAAAGGCCCGACTGACCACACGAGGGCTGCATGGCTCACCTCAGCTCAACAAAGAGCTGGGTACAGCGAGTTCACTTCTCCAATTTTGTATCACTCATCATGCATATGCACATGTGCATAAACACACAAAAAGACCAAGTCACAGACAAGAAAACCTGCTTGCACATGCAGAGAAGGAACTACACATAACCCCACAGATCCCCCTCTCTCACACACACACACCACACACACACACACACACACACACACACACTAACTTCCCCACAAGACCATCCACAGCAGGTTCTGTATCTTTATATGGACATATTCTGTGAGCAAACTACCACTCTGGGCTTGGAGTCAGACTGAAAGCATCAGGGTTTGTATGCTGCGGACATAACCCAAAGAGTACGATTTAAAAAGACAAGGCAGTTAGCAGCCTAACCGAAACTAACCCTCCAGTATTACCATGCAGCGCTTTCTCCAGCGCAATCGTCTCTTCCACCCCCATTCCACCATCCATTTTCTTCCTCTACAACCCTGATGGAGATCTCCACCGCTCATCTCTCCATCTCACTTCTCCCAGCACTCAAGTCTGAGTCACTGCAGTTTTAGCTGCACACGCTCTATCAGGTCTCTACCTTTCAGTCTCATTTTGCTTTATCTCAACTAAAGCTGCAACTGATAGCATGTGTTAACCAAGTCTTTAGCTTATAGAATTTTACAGGTTTGTCCACAAGTCTGCTTAACCAGATGTTGTTACAGTTACGATGTGCACAAATCGCGACACTGCATGGTCCGTCTTTATCCTCCTATTCCAAAGGGCTTCAGCTATAAGATAAATTGTACATTTCTGAGCTTACGTCATTATAGTTAATTTACAGATTTCTGTAAAGGAAAGCTACAACTCAAGAAAGCAGGCTGTAAGGTGACCTTTATTTTCACGGTACCGGAATATTGTTAGTTTAATAAAACATTCAACTTAAAGCCATAAATGACAAGATCAAATAGAAAGTTTGATAGCTGTTAAAATATTTCAATATGGGGTCAAAGTAGAACTTAACAATTACACTACCATTCAGCACAAGTGGCTGAAGGCAGGCTGTGTGTAAAGGCCTACATTGATATTTACAGCTACAATGTTGAATCATAACTGTAGTTGCTGATTAGATAATGGAAAGCACTTTGCGTTTTGAAGCACAGCTCGTATTCCCAAGACATAGTAGCTGAAATGCCTTCCAAGGATGCCGAGAGACAAGTTTTGCTCTCGCTGAATGAAGAGCACAGTCGCGCATACAGCGAAGGAGTGCCCTGAGCACTGCCTGCCTTCTAACCAGAGAGGATCTTTCACTGCAGAAAACAGGTCAGGCAACATTGGAGTTTCCCCTTCAGACAGAGTAAGTCTTTGAGAGAGGGACATAAATAGCAATTGTTAAGACAGCCCTGGAGAGTTCACTCTCCTATTGACTGAAGAGTTGAACAGAAGGGAAGTGTGTTGGTGGTTTGTGAGGGACAGTACTGTACACATTTTCTTTCTTACCTCCTTGGCTTCAGCAATACGGTAAGTTTAAAAGCAACAGCTGAGAAAAGGTGCAGCTATCCTATGAATTTGGTGTGTGTGTGTGTGTGTGTGTGTGTGTGTGTGTGTGTGTGTGTGTGTGTTCCAGCGTATTTGCCTTTCCCAAACAGCCAGAGGAGAAAAGCATGTCTTGCAGGCATGATCAGCTTAATTCAACAGTTCCTACTGTTCTCCCGCTTAACTGGAAAACCCAGCCGAAGCGTTTCTCACGGACAAGCAACTGTACACTCACTGGAGCTACTCCTGAGGGGTAATGCTAGTTCCCATGGCAACTCCTACACTGGACCTCTAAATACACGGCTGAAAACAGCAGCTGATAGGCTTCAGTGTGTATTCAGAGAGCCCAGTCAAACATGCAACTTTAAAACATTTTTTCTAATCTTACAGCTAGGGCTTGGCAACGAAATGAAAAAGATAATTGGTGCAAAATAACTTCATTAGAAATGAGACGGTGTGAGTCAATAGAACTCACACCATCCATATTTTAACAGACACCATGAAAACCAAAAGACAATAGTAGCATTGTGCCAAACCAATCGTGCGGTTGGATTATAGCTGGAGCCACGTTGGGTTAGGTTCTCGCACAGAGTATATGAGGGAGAGCTAGCAGGGCACGTGCTAATGTCTGGGCTACTGCACCATACGCACCAGCACGTTACGGGCGCGACTGAGATCAGTGACAAAATGACCAAAATGTTGAGTAGCCTTACTGAACATAACACACCAATGCACACAGCCCAAGGCTCAAAACACGAGGACAGTGTAGAAAAGAAAAGGAATTCTGCCAGCAAGCACAGTCAAAATGTCAGACTTAAGTAGCGGATTAACGTAGCTCACCCTCGTTACCAATTCTGTCCATATACATTTCTCTCAAACGGCACTTTCCCATCTACACAGAGTGTATAGAGACAGTGTAACACTTAACTACCGCATCGATTTGAGGTCAAGTCACATTGGATTCAGACGAGACTCACTTCATTGAGACACTACTTCACTTCTAGTGTTTTTAACTTATTTTTTCTTGATCCATTTCCCCATAAGCAGCCCACAGCTTGCTGAATGTCAAGTTTGTTTGTTTCTCTCTCTCTCTCTCTTTTTTTTTTTTTTTTTTTTTTTTAAATTTGTGGGGTTCAAATTATTGAAAGTCTATACTATAGAAATGGCAGAGTAGAGCTGTAATATTTTAATTTTGTATTATAATTACACTGAACTGGCCAAAGAATTTGGTTGTACCCATTTCACTGAAGGCTGTGACTGATCTGTCAATTTAACACTGGCCAAATGCCCAAAGATAACGTGATAAAGACATGAAAGACTAAAGCAGGGCGATGACCAAAAATATTTATCACGATATACATTTGAAAATTTGTGATAACGATATAATTCCACAACTTTATTAGTGAAAAAAAAAAAAAAAAAAACACCCAATGTATTTTCACTTAAATAAGCAGCTGTTTTTTTATGTGTATTAAAGTTATATAAAAATGTAACAATGAAAATTCCTTGCTGACATTCTCTGCCATGCTTTTTCTGCCATGTGCGTATGAAAACAAAGGCACTGCGCATGCGCGTTTTACCCATATTCTATCGCTATATTTCATTTTCTTATCGTTGCCCAACATTACACCGGTATTACCGCGAACAGTATAATATGGCCCAGCCCTATGAAAGACCTACCCATCCACTTTTTCATGAAGACTTCGTTGTTGTTGTTTTTTTAAAATGACAAAATGTGAAACAAAATACAAAAACACTTGATCCACATCTGTCCTTTTACAGGCAGTGCATCCTTAGAATTTGAGTTATTAAACAGATAAGTAGACTTCAGCAGGAAAACTGTGTAGAGACTATAAGATTGTGTATTTGCAAGTTGCCCTTTGTTGCTTTCTGCAAAATTTGACTTGCTATATTCTAATAAGGTCCAAAAGTAAAGGTTTTGTATGCAAAAATGAATGCACTGGTGACCTTTAACAATTTTGAAACCCCCAACACAGCAAAACCAGAGTGGAAAAGCCCAGTAACTCACTTTTGATCGTTAACTGAAGCAGAACCATCTCACTCTGCCAACAACATGCTCTAACCAAGGTATTAGTCATTTAGCCAAATAACCATTAACTCACAAGGAACATGAGAGAGGTGGGGGGTGGAGTAGCTACTGATCCATCTTATTTAGTTGAATGCAAGGCTTTACCTTGCATTAACTAACAGCTCTGCATTTAGTCAAAAAGACAAGATGTGCCAAGTGCGTGCAGAGTAAATGATTCCTTAAAATTTCTCCGAGCACATCAAAAAGGAAGCTATATCCACTTAAGCTCAGTGCTGGGAAAGACTAAAACGCTGGAGGCTGTAGTTACTGTACAGGAACTGAATGAGTAACTGTCAAGTGGCCGTATTCACCTTGAAGAAATTTAAGAACCTAACCTGATGACCAGTGCAGCCATGTTTTGGCTTTTTCCTCCTGTAGAATCAAAAGGCAGTCTAGTTAAGGTCACCATTCATTAAAATACAAGAGCAAAAAGTACTCATATTTACTTGAGAATTTATATTTTGTTACCCCATACCTCTTAGGCAAGATTCACACAGATATTGCTTCAATGCTCGACAGTGGTCGGGGATCACTGTTGGTGCGATCATCAC